TTTTTTTTTTTTTTTACAAAGACATTCACTGCAAATGTTTCCACTTCGTGATACAGAAAACTTGTCAAACCTACATTCCTAAACAGCCTCCGTGTAATGCAGTGGCTAATATACCTGCCTAGTCCTACATGGTTACTGGACTGTATATCTGGCCTCCCACATTTTCTTTCATTTGTAATTTACTTCTGTATAGCAGTACGATAAACTTGAATTGGTAGGCTCCCTCTGCATCTTGTGGGCTACCCATGTTACTCTACCTCCACAGGAGGAATCAGCTAGTGTGTTATAGGAGTTTGATGTATAGAAGAGCTATATGCAGAGGTATGTGTCTTACCTCATACACACCACAGAAAATTGACATGAACTTGCTGAGTACAGCAGCACAGATGCTAGCAATATGCACAAAAGGACCCTGCAAGAGAAGAACAGGGGAAAATCAGAGAGGGTTGCCCTCTACCACTGATGACCATTTAGTCATCGCCCAACCTCTTTGACTGTCCTAACCTGCCCCTCATTATTTCTCTTCTTCCTTTCAAAGACTACTTGACTTGAGTCGCTGACCTTTCTGTAACAAGCCTTTCATAGAGAAAGGAAAATGGCCAATTGGACATAAGACTTGCTAGAAAGAACACAGATTTGAGAAGAGAAACAATGGCAAAGGAAAGAAAACATGATCTTTCACAGACAATGTTTCCCTCCCACATCCTGGAAACCACAGCGCATGAAGATAGCAACATTCACCTCTTTCCCCACGGGCATGCCACTTCCAAGCCCAGCTGTAAGGCCCACAACTTTGGCCACAAAAGCTTTGAGAGTGAGGTATTCCTTGAGTACTACTCCCCTCATAATTGTCTTCAGTTCTGGAATTCCAGACCCTGAAAACAACAACAGGGGATGAGGAAACAATCAATAAGCAAATTGAGTATGAAAAAGAGACAGACAGAAACAGATCTTTCCATGCCTTCCACCCTCACCAACAGCCTGTGGGGAGACGAGATGGCAGAAAATGGCCGCAAACAGAATGAGAACAAGGGGGTATGTGACCCATGCCAAATACTGCATAGCGACATTCGGGTGCAGCTCTCTGTACATCCACTTGTAGGCTGTTGACAGACAAACAAAGAAGTTGTCAGTAACCACAGCTGCTCCAAACAGGTTGGAAAACATCCTCCAAACAGGTTGAAAAACAGGTTGGAATCACATACTTTCTAAACCTATAACCTAACTCTGCCCCTATGAACATTCCTGAGAAATGCTATCCTAAAGTGATACTTTTCTAAGAGAAGGATGATAATGCCTTGGAGTACAGGTTTCCAAGTAAAATGGGCATTTTTTACAGGAAGGATAGAAACAGCTTTCTATTTGTAGTCACTATTAATACCTGTATCCTAATGTGGCACTAGCAGAGTTACACTGTATGTAGTTGGGGATAAATCACTAAATGGGGGATCTTCATTTGGCAGCATGAAGACCTTATGGGTGCCCTGAATCACAATAAAGTGATTAATCAACAGCTAGTGCCCTCTTCTCCATCTCAATCATACGAAAATAAACACATAACCCTAGACAGGATGGGAAGCAGTGTAACAAGAAGGACCAGACTGCCACTCCCTTGTGGTCCTACAGTCACCAGGGAGCAGGAGTGAAAGGAAGCTGAGGTAATAGTTTGTCTTTGATTCACTCCATGTCCACTTCTTTCCACATTTTCCCCTACTGTCCCTTTAAAGAGCTAAGCTCTAGTTAAACTCCTTTCCTTACTATGTTACAAGTCCTTCAAACTTCCCTGGCAGCCAGGAGTGAGGATGGGAGACTCACATTAAAGGAAGAGGAACATTGGTCATTGGGCTTTGTAAAATATTGATTTGATTTACAATGCTGTTTTTGCAGCATTTGAAAAGAACTCACCCTGTAGGCTCTTCGCGCTGGCATAATCCATTCCCCAGCTCACCAGTGCCATGACCAGACCTAGCAGAATCAAGAAAATCCAGTCCTCTCCAAACTTCTTGGTAACATACTTCTGGATGCGTCTAGCACAGTCTGTTGAGGAGAGAGTAAACCAGAAACAATGAAGGGACACAAATGAAGCTTGTGTCTGTCTCTCCTCTCCTGTGTTGAGAACTGGTAACAGTAAGCATTTATTTGGAAGAACTCTGGACATAGCATCAAAGAACTGGCACTCATCCCTGGTTTACACAGTCCTGCAACGGCTACCAAAAAAAAAA